TGGCGTCGTAGCTCAAATCGGTAGAGCGTTGGCTGCGTAAAGGCCTTCCCTGTTGTGTGGTTTCGACTCCCGCCGACGCCGCGAGTTTTTACAGAATTGGGTCAACTAAAGTACGCAAATCTGCCAAAGCCCCTTAACAAGAATTAACTGTATAACCACCACTTCTGTAAGACAGTTGGGCGGGTGAATGGATATTTAGATGGTCCTACAAGACAGTTTTGCAGGATTTTTGTATAAAATTCATGATTTTTGTAATCTTGCCAAATTCATAGCAAAATTATACTGCATGGCATCTTATATTTTTCATCAATTGCCTTTCCTGAAAAGCATGCAGCTTTAATTTTGGAAACCTCAAACGCATATGCAACGGTAATTGGAATTGAAGGTGGAACCCAATAGTGTCAAAAGCAGCAATATAGACACTGCGCTCAATTACTTTGCTGAAAATTCATTCCTGAACTTCGTTATCTTAACTGCGATATCACCATGTAATTACGCCTTGTGTCAGTCCTCAAGGAAGAGCGCAAAACGAGAAGTCTTTTAGCCTCCTTAGTACAACATGTTTAGGGTAAACAAACGCGTGAACAGCCATCGTGCCCATCGGACCAATCAGATACTGTCCTGGCGTGAGTAGCGACAAGATTGGCTTGTGACTCAACGGCTGGCTTGTCAGAGTCTTAGCCTGACCGCAGCTTTAACTTTCAAATTATTTATTGATTGCCAGTTTATGTTCGCCGTGTGTAGGCGGATCGATAGCCTGGCATGAGTGCAGCTTGCTGCTTACTTGCTGGCTGCCTGCCTGCTGGCGTGTCTGTTAAGGTGTCTCCTAACATCTGGATCGCACCGGTTTTTCCTCCAAAACCCGATCTGTTGAAATCAAAACCGGATTTGTTGAAATCAATACCGGATCATTACTTATTATATATTAGAACTATTTTCTCTATTTATTTAACCTTGTTAGCAAAAAGAACAATCTTTTATAAATATTTCGAGTACATAGCGTATAATATTTCATCAAATTAGTCTCGATGTACATCAGGTAGTGAGAACCATTGTCCAAAGAATGTCTCCGAATGCATTGACAACGAGGATCATAGTTATAACATAGGTATAACTATGATGCTCGTTGTCAATGCGGTTAACATCATTAGCTGCCAAGCAGTGCTTGGTAGCGTAGATGAAAATGTATTCCATAATTTTTGGCAGCCCTTCTAGATATTCTTGACGACGACGGGGAATATATAATTGTTGTGAACAACGTTCGTTTCCATAGGAGGTGCTCT